TAAAAAATGTTGAGTTCGAGTTCGAGTTCAACTTAAAATGATTCTAGGTTCGGTTCGATTCGGGTTCAAAAAAAAAATATTTTAAGTTCAGTTAGTTGAGTTCGGTTCGATTTAAAAAATAAGGGTTCGACCCATCACTAATATATATACATATATATAATTATTAATACGCAGGTTATATGTTAATTAATTTAAAATTTTTAACACAGTTGATCATACTGTATTGTCCGTATTCATATATAAAATTGTTAATATTATAATATACATGAGATAAAAATAATATAATATTTTATGGATATTATCTTGAAATCAATTGATTTATGTCTTACACYCTAGATATGTATATTGTATAAGTATAATGTATATACTTTGTAGGGTGATTATTTTTTAAATGTACATGTTGCAGTATGACATACATGCTATCTTGAAATAAATAAATTTATATATACATTTTTTATTTAAACTTTTTGTTTAATAACATCAATACATTCATTGCTGTTAAGAATCTAAAATATATTTATTACTATTAATAATAAATAATAGCATATAACATGTGTATTAATAATTATATATAATATATTATTTATTTTTATATTTATATTATATTATATATTATTATAATTATTATTTATACAATATGACCAATAATGTGTAAACATTTTTTAAATAATGCCTAATTTAATACTTTAATTTTAATTGTTATATATTTAATTATTGTAATTTGGCTTTTTTTCAGTGGATTATTTTTCCCGTGGTTTTTTTCCCCTAGATTTTTTTCCCACATTCGTTATTTATACACTTGAAATCTATATACACTGCAGTGATCATTTTAAATGAACATACAGCGTGTGATGCAGTAATTATCTCGAGTTCTCGAAAAATGCATAATACATTTTTTTTAAACCGAAAACAATGGTGTTTTGTACACCGAAATCAATAGAAAAGAAATCTTCATCGGAAAATATTAAAATTAAATTTACCTTATATTGTTTAGCGATTAAAAAATTATAACGTTACAAGCAAAAAAACACGAAAAAATAGGTATTTATAGTAGATTTCCTTTATATTTTAATTAATAATATTTAAAAAAATATATCTTTAAAAAGTCAATACTATTAGGGATACTTAATGATAGCAATGAGCATTTTTACTGTTAAAATATGGCTGCAATGTCGAAGTGTGACTGACGTTAACACTAATAACACGAACAAAATTAATTTCCAACAATAAATTGTAAGGGGGTATTATTTACAGATGAGATATCGACAATTATTGAGATATCTACGAGTTTATCACCTAACATTATTCTCAGTCGCTGAAAACCTATGGACGTAACTCGTACATGTGATGAGAAAACCGCGGACGCAACTATAGGCAAAATATCATTTAGGGACGCAATTCGAAGGCCGAAAATAATTATGATTTATAAATATATGTGTATAAAAATTATGCAATGCATTTACCTACGCAGGCACAAGGCACACAGCTATATAAATTATAAACTATATAGAATAATATAATATTACCTATACATATATATTGCCTACACAATAGCTGCGAACGTGTAAACTGCGTATTTATTTAAATTYAAGCATGTTACTAAGGCAGTTAAAATTAACAATAATTAAAATCTAGAATTCTAAAAACAATATAATTTACCCATGTTTCTTCAGTTTTAAAATCTTCAAATTAAAAATAAAACTTTTTACTATATAAAACACAATAAATCGTACAGATGTAATATTTTTTGCATTGCTCACATACACAGACTACGGACACTCAGTAAAGAACTGAATAAAGAATGTAAAAGTATTCACCGTAGCCTTCTATACATTCTATGACATCACATGTATACCTACGTCTGGTAGTTATGTTAGCAACAGTAGTGGGCGTTAACCCACGTTACCTGGCACAGGTAACAGGAAACCAGTTATTTTAACAATACACATCAAGAATGGAAAGGGAACATTCTAACTGATTCTTGGGTTCACTGATTTCATTGGAGCATTATAATACATACCTGAATATAGACTAAGATCTTCGGACTAAAAAAACCTATTCATATTCATAATAAAGTCGGTATACCTACCTATTATTTATTAGGTTACGTTACTCATACCATAAATAATGTGTTCTTTACTGGTGACAATTAAAAAAAATTACTAAATCCATGTTAATATAAAGAAATACGAATACAATAAATTCATTAGACATATATTTGAACTTGCGAGCTATTTGAGGCTATATTTTTTAAGTTACATAGCTTGGGCTGGTGAAAACGATTGCCTTCACTCATTGAAAACTGAGATGACGCCTATGCATAGGTACGCGATACGCCTAATATTTAATTGGCTCCTAAATTTGKGTAATTTAAATTTGAAGACGACACTGTCGACACTAGAATTGGCTTCCTAAACTGTAAAATATTATTGTTTAACCAGGGGTTCTCATATTATACGTGTTTATTTTTACGTCAACCTTCCTATAGCCTGACAGTTTGCACTCAAATATAGATTAGCACTGGATATTTATGTACGTATACAATAAAAAAATATTATACAATGTGTAACAGATAGAACTGACTTTTGGAATAACTTAGTTCAAATTAAAATTTTTTATTTATTCATTTTTCTTTTGTTCATTAGCGCTACGTGTATAATACATTTTTTTATGTTTATTTTTTAKTACTGAATTATATAAGGACAATTTTTATGATCAAAAGATTTATCTAAGTCAAGTAGTTTATTTTTTTAAATTCAATATTTTATTCAATAAAATGTTCGGTATAATTATTCTGGTAATGAGAATGACCGCAATCGAATATAGGTATTTATAGATCTAAAATTAATATTGTTAAATTTTAAATTATGCGACATAGGGCGACATCTACGGTTTCGATGCAATAGTCTGCCATCCCTGAAACCGGATGATACGCAACCCAATGTACAAAGTTTCTTATCACTAGTCCCCAAGCTTTGGTCACTGGTCAGCCAACTTCACACACGTAATTGATATCTTATTATTGAATCTTCACTCTTCGGTCCACAGATATTTGCACATTGCATTAGATTTAGATATTTTATGAATTAGTGTACTTACTACTTGTCTTAATAATCATTATTAGTTTAGTTTACTTATTAAAATGAGTTCATTCACAAATAAAAATGTTTTGAATTTGTTAAGAAATTTACCAAGACTCTCAATTTCTAACCTTCGAAATAATGACGGAGCAGTAAAAAAAGTAATTAGAAAAAAATTATTATTTATTTGAAATACAATATYAGATTCTGCAATTTAACAATTATTAATAACATATTTTTGCATTACATTTTCATTCACTTGATTCTACATTTATAAATATTTTATTAGTATTTAACAGGTTTGTTGCGTATCATATTTGAGTATACTTGAAATGATATTGAAAAAAAATTAAAATATGAAAATAGCAATGTTTGACTTTCATATACTAATGAGATAATGCTTATAGAACACACACAAGCTAAAATATTTCAATTGTAACGTTCACCAAATTGCAGTGTATTCAATAGCAACGCACTAAGGATGGTTATAAAATCCGAATATCTRAATTTTCCGAATATCCGGATATCCAAGGATTTGAATCAAATTCTTATCCGGATTTCCCGAATCATCCGGATTTATGGATTTGATATGCTAAGCGCAAAACATCACTGGTATTTAAAATGCGTTTGAAATTGTGTATACCTATGTCTGAAAATTATATTATAGAATTAAAATATTATTAGTAAATAAAAATGAGTCATTGAACAGCAAAATAGAGTTGAATAATCACTCTGGATAATCCGTGAAATCTGGATTTGACAAATCCGAATAATTCGGATTTTTGAAATCTGAATATACTGGGGAATATACCCACCACTACAACATACATGACAAAAGTTAAATGACACCATTATACATTGTTTGCGTTGAATGTGTTAAATATTTAAATATCAATGTTTGTGTAAATAATATTATGAAATGTAAGAAATTAGTACTTAACTTTTTTTTATTTGAGTTTTTTTATTTCATTTGTTATTTTATTCATTATGATCCATAAATAATATATGTATTTTATTTCAGAATAAACGAGGCAGGGGCCAACACGGAGGTGACAAACATGGTCATGGTAATAAAGGATCAAAAGCTAGGCAAAACTTCATGAGACCTGGATATGAGACAGGAAATACACCATTTTATATGAAATTTCCTAGAGAGCAATATTACAAGGATCATCAGTAAGTTATAAAATTACTTAATACAATATTTAAGATAATTTTACACTCAACATTTTAACTTTTTTTAGTGTTAAAAGACAATATCCACCACTATCATTGACTACTTTACAAAAAATGATTGATTTGAATCGTATAGACATTTCAAAACCTATAGATTTATCAGTTTTGTGCAATACGGGTCTATATAATATTAATCCAGAATATAAGCACTTTGGAGTAAATCTTATTGATGAAGTAAGTTTTATTTTATTTTCAATAGTGTTTCAGTAACATGGGTTATTAGCAAAGATATTTGCTGTATAGGTAAGCATGCTGGGTCCCAGACGCAAAATTTTAAAGTCACATTTGTTTTAAAATTAAAATAGTCTTTTTATTTAATATTGTATATTGGATAGATGTTTATGGTTTACCTATATACTATTTTTATGACTCATAATTATGTGTCTGAGAAATTAGATATGAGATTTAGGTGATGGCAAAATATTAAAATATTAGGCCATAGGCATAGGCATAAATTCAGTCTTAAACTTGGAGGTGCAAAAATCTTTTACCTTAAAGTGACTTGTGGGGTACTTAACTCTTCCCACATTACCTATACGGTTATATATACCAATTCAAACAAAATTACTACATGACTACATTAAAAGTTTCAAATGAATGTATCTGATTTTCAACATATCCTATATCTTATAACCGATTATCATAACGACCATCATAATATTTTTTGTTGCAAATGTTGCAATCGGTGTTGTCTACATTTCACTACTGTCATCATTTTTTTTTTTAAATTTGTTTTACTCAATTTAAATGCATTGGACATATTGAAATAAGTAATATTGTACAAGTACAAAAATCCAACATAAAATATTGTAATTACCATTTTACAACCGCATTAATAAATTGTTGGTATTTATATAGAAAAATGAAAAGAACAAAAAAATATAATAATTCAATATCAGTGATGTTGACACCAAATCGAGAATACTATACTATCAAACTAAACAATTGTAGTTAATATCATTATTTTCATATCAATAAACCACCATACTGGTAGACAGTATACAAAAACAAAATGTTTAAGTAAAAATTAGTGTATTGCCCATATAAACTGAGATTAATTCATTCTATATGCAAAATTACACTTTAAACAATAGTTTTAACTCAAAATAATTTGGGGGTGCTAAGCACACATGTATGTGTGTCAATGGTCATTGGGCGTAAATAGCGGGAATGTTCAATTATTACCTGAGACTCAAAAATGTCTTTATCTAACTCTGTATTACATTATATTGAATAACAGAATACATATCTATGTACAAAATATAATATGACTAACATTAAATAGTAATATGATTCTATATTTGCTTGTCTAATCTGATGCATTAGAAAAAGTTAATTAGGTCATTTATTGGTGTTTTAGGCTGATTGTTTCATAAATATAGATTTATGAGTTTTCTTCTTTCTTCCTAGAAATGTCATTCTGTTAGTAGATGTTTACTAATAACTCAGATAACACACAATTCATATAAATTATGAATTATTTATTCATTATTAGATATTTGAACATAAGATGGGTATAATCTGTATAACTGATTTTTAATATAATTTTTAAACTAATAGTTATGATACAATATGAAAATAGAGTTTTACTAAACTTAATTAAATTCATAGTGCTCACTGTTATACATATTATCATTCATGCTGTTATAAATTAAAATAGCTATATTAATAAAAGTTTTTTTATATGTATGTTAGGGAGCAGATCATTTTAAAGCAAAAATTAATATAGAAGTTCAGTGGGCAAGTGAACCTACAATTGCAGCCATAGAAAGAAATGGAGGAGTTATAACGACATCATTTTTTGATGTTAATAGTTTATTTATTTTAATTAATCCTAAAAAGTTCTTCCAGAGAGGTTTGTAAAGTAAATTATGTAGATATTTTATGTCCTCCATCCTTATACTATAACATTGTATTCTGAAATTTTTATTTATATTCATTTTAAAGTAAGACAAAAATAATTAATTAAGAGGATAACATATTCTCTTATCATTTTATAAACTTACAACCTACAGAAATTGTATTCAGCAATTTTKATATTGTGTAATAATCTTTAAAAATAGAATGAATTCACCTTTTATCATAGTTAATGTTCAATATATTATCAGGGTTCTTACAATATTTTAATTGTTAATATTGTAAGTTTGATAATAGGTGAATTTATTCTTATGTTAAAGATTACTACATATGATTGTAACTGCTAATCACAATTTTTTTATGAGATAAATTTGTAGAGAAAGACTACAAGTCACACCTCTGAAGTGTTTCAAAAATTTAGATATTGTATTTTCTTGTTATTTTATGAATACATATTATTGTGATTCCAACTTCTATATTTTTAGTTATTTTAACAAAAAGCAATAAATCTTCATGAATTACTGCCTTAAATTAAATTATATAATAAATTAAAATTTAGAAATACTTGTATCAGTTGTAGAGTTATTAAAAAATGGTATTTGATTTTTGTATTGTATTATATAATAATATTATAAAACCATGTAATATCTCAAACTATCAATGATTTAACAATGGTTATAAAACTAATGACCAATTTCAAAATGTCTTAAGAAGACGCTACACAAAAATTTGTTGTCTCCGTCTTACATGTGCATAACATTGCAAATTTACGCTTAGCAGATCACGTTTAATTCCGTTAGTTTAAAAATTAGAGTAAATTGACCTATTATGAAACTTGGTGGTAAGAACATTATCTGTGTTTGTATGTAGGTTTTTTACTATAACTAAGTTTTTATGTGAGTTATGAGCTTTTTTAATTTATGCTTTTGTATATACGCCATAACTTACTACAAAATTGAACTATCATAAAAAACTCTAATACAAACAAAGATAATGTTCTTAACATCAATTTTCATACTAGGTCGATTCACTCTAATCTTTAAACTAACAGAGCTAAACGTGATTGGCTGAGGGTAGTTGTCTATGCAATTGTAAGACGAAGACAAAAAATGGTTGTGTAGTGTCCTCTTAATAATTTTGGAAAATATTTTAAAAACCAATAATATGTTAAGAATTATTTTAGAATAAATTAATATTAAAAGTCGTGGCACCAATCCTGCAATGATTTTAATTTATAAGAATGAATTTACCATTTACAGTAAATTATAATATTTTCAAATGAGAAATTAATTTTTTATTAATATTAACTAACACTTATATTTTATATAGCTACTGTCTAAATAAAATAATTTTATGCAATGTATACAATTTGATATTGATGTATAATACCTAATCACATCTTTATTCAGTTGTAMACCCTTTAAAAGTTTTATTTTAATAAAGAAAAAAATAAAGTATTATGTGTTCCTTAAACTACACCTAATTTATTTATAATAATACTACTATGTTTATTTTTATAGGAGAAGCAATACCTAGACGAATGATTCCTCCTGATGATGCAATTTTATACTATTCGAGTGCAGCAAATCGTGGTTATTTGGCAGATCCTGAAAAAATATCTTGGGAACGTTTTATTTTAGCACAGAAATATGGATATAAACTTCCCAAAATTGAAGATGATCCAGRTTATGACATGCTTGTCAGTAGAAAAGATCAGAGGCAAATATTTTATGGCCTAGAACCTGGTTGGGTTGTTAATCTTAAGGATAAAGTTATACTTAAACCCATTGATCCAGAACTTAAAGCATTCTATAAAAGTTAAATATATGTTTTTGTGTTAGTATTAAAATGTATGATTATATGTGTCATGTAATTTAGTTATAATATACAATACTGAAGAGCATGATTACTTATCACTTTGTATTCATTTAAATTGTAATGATTATTTATGTCGTCAATCCACTGATTGCTTCACATTTGAAATCAATAAAATTGGTATTTAGTGAAATATTATAATTTATAATAGTTAAATAAATTTTTGGATTTGTTTCTATGTCATTAGACCACTATTTAAAACTTGATTATACAATAAAGCAATCAATGTATCTCATATTCATCCAAAGATAGTAACTAGTAACTAATTTTAAAAAATGGGTAGGGTACCGCTCTGTGATGTGTTATGTATTGTTTAAATCACTGTAATGGATAAGTTAAATTAGAATTCAATTACATGAAAAATGACTCTGAGTAAAAGCTGTCAAGCTATATTATTAATTATATAATTTATTTTACTTACAGTAATTTAATTTACCATTAGTTATGTTATACAGAAGATTTAAATTATTTTTTCTGTTAACATTACATTTGAAAATGTCATTTGTTTATAAAATATTATAATATATTTCAAAAGTTTTATGTAGGTATCTAAGTATATTTTAAAATTACAAGTAAATATCTGAATTTATAAATTTTCGTTTAAATATTTAATTTCCTTATTTTATTAAAAAGTACTGGCCAGTTTTCCTTTAAACTACCTAAGGTTCATTTATGATGGATTACATTTTTTCATAAATTAGGAAACTTTTAATACCTGTAACTCTAAAACTAAGCTAGATAGTACAATTCTGACTCCACTAAAAACTTTTTCATCAAAAACTGAACGTAGTATAAAAATAAAAAATCTAAACAAATCGATTTTTAGCTAATTTTAGAAAGGATTTATTATGAATCTTGAAAATTGTGTTTTCCAATTTATACGTGCAAAAACTTCAAAAGTAGGTATTTTAGTAAAGTTTTGATTTTACCTATTTATTAAACGCTAAAAACTACACATTAAAAAAAAAAAATATTCAATTGTAAGTATTATTTTTTTTTTAAATGCGCGTGACGAAAAAAATGAAGTTTTTCGTCAATAACTTCAAAACGAAGTCTGAGCGGGCTTTTTTTATATTCTTATAAAGCACCGTAAAACACACATTTTGAAAAAAAATTTTTAAAAATCAATAGGTTGCTAAACTAGAATCGTTCCGCTTATTATATTTATAATATGACTAAATGACTATTTATTATTTGCTAGGGCCTGCTTGGACATTGATTCTTTACTGGGCTAGTGGGCTTACCGTGTGTCTGTTTATGGGCCCCCTTCACTAATAATACAATAAAACCATACGACATACGTCACTATTTATGTTCAAATATTTACAACAAATAAAAGATTATGATAGTGACTAGTGAGATTGTGACAAACGGGACTACTCAATAACCTACATAATACATATATACGACCTCATTGGTCTAATTAAAATTTTTTTTAAGGCTTGAACCGAAGAAAAATTCCTGCTTTAGCTATGTTTTTTATCTTAGATAATAAAGAAAGAATTTTACCCATTTTACGAAACACTTGTTCATTTCCATCATGGCGGTGCTAACTATTGATAACTATATGGAATAATATAATTTATCAATTACCACACATTCATTCATTCATAATTCACATACAATATACATAGTTGTATTATACACTTTACGTCTACACGCCATAAAAAAAAGTAGCACTTCCTTATTACTCTAATGAAATAGTACGTCTATGTCTTACTACAAGATTACAGTGTTAWAAAGGTTCTTAAATCTTACATTCCGCGAGACCACGACTGGAGTGTACAAGACGTCAAGACGTGACCATAGACAAGTATAAATATATGGAGTGGACGTGACTACAATAATTTGTCTATATTCATAGAACAGTAGCTATAATGCATCATTAATTTATTTTGTGTACCATTAATGCAGCTTATCACAAGTTACAACACTGTGTTGTGAAATTAAATATACTTTTTTAATCTTTTTGGTGAGATAACATAACATTAAAAATTTTGTACTAAACACTAAATACTAAACATTAAAACTTTTGTTTACAATAATTTGTTGACTAAATAGAATACGAACAATACGCATTCTATTTAGAAGAAATTATAAACTAATTAGTTAATTAAACTTCAAGTATCATTTGCAAGATAAATTAATACGTATAAGTAAAAATGGACAGCTTTTATGGAAATTCATATCAAAGCAATGGAGGCGAAAAAGATTTTCAGAAATTGGCTCAATTGATTGGCACTAATATCCAGAAAATATCACAAAATGGTAAGAGTATATTCATTGTTTTTATTAAATTGTTAGCTTAGTATTGTATTTTTAAATTTGATCTTCCAGATCATGTTCTATGATTTATAGATTTTTCTTATAATTAACTTAAAGTAGATAATAACTAACAGGTCAATGTATATACTTTTTAGTCATTTTATTAATGCTAAAAACAATTATCTGAATACCTTTCTATGCCCAAGGGCGCTCATCTGTCAAAACCTGTGGGGGGGGGGGTGTGACAATAAAAACAAATAACTTGAAAACTAAGAATAAATCTAATTTATTTTATCAAACAATGCTACAAATATGTATATACCTATATTCTATACTACATAGTTCATACCATATAAATTTATATATTTGTCATTGTTTGATCAACATAGTATTACAATAAAAACCTATAAGTATGTACATTGTATAGTATTATTATTAATAAAATGAATTTATTAGGTATTCTGGTATTCAAGACTAAGCAAATTACAGTATTTTTTCTTGGGTGGTGACATTTCATCTCATTGTACCCCTTAATGGGCGCCCTTGTCTATGTCGTTAAAATTATATTACTATTTTGTATTAAATTATGAAGACATTTGTTGATCAATAAATATAAAGATATAACATTAATATTTCATAGTAAAATTGCTTGTTAATCATATGAACCTCTAAAATATAGTTATATTATATTATTTTTCTGCAATATCTGTTCAGTAATAGTTCTAGCATATAAGAAGGGAGGGCTGCTGCTCATATAAATGTATAGCACCCTATATTGAAAAATTAAATAATATTATTAAATATGGTTGGGGAGAATTTTAATGCAGTTAAGACCTAATTATAAATTAATTGTTGGCTATAAAAAATTTGGTTCTAGAACTGCACCTGTATTTCAGTGAATTAATTTATTATTATCTATATTATTTTGTGACTCTTTAAAGTGCTATGTTCGAATCAGTACAAATTCTATTTCAAATAAAATATTTTAGTTAATTATGATTGATATAATTGGTGTATAGTGATTGTGAGGTTATAACTGTATACAGTAGATAAATTACTACTAAATTCTAAGGACAGTTTTTACAATGTCTGGTTAAGTGTCTGTTAACGGTTAGTGAAATTTTTACTTAGTACTTAATAAATGAAATTGAATAATGTCTAAATTAATATCTTGATTCTTAAGAAAGAAGTAGTTACTTTAGAAAATTTAGTGAAACTCTTCTCCTATATAAAGCCCCAGACTACGTAATTACAAATCATGTATAACTAATATAGTAATGTACAATCCTGTTTTAACAAATAGTTACAATTTTTAACAATAATGTTATAATTAAAATATAATCAATTTATGGATCCATCCTCTGGGACCCATCTACTGCCTCTGCAAGCAGTATGATTGAAAGGGTTCAAAGAAAATTCCTCCGTCACGCTGCTTATAAATTAAACATATTCTGTTTACTCGCCAATCCAATGCCTTTTTTCCTTAGAAAGTCTCGCTGTTCGCCGGCACTCGGCAAACATATCATTTCTATCTAATCTACACTCCTCTAAAATTGACTGTCCAGAATCACTATCTCGCATTTCTTTTAATGTCCCCTCCCGTCGTACTCGTTCATCTGTTCCTTTCCATATACCATTCTCTTCCTCAAACTACCATTTTAACTCACTGATTATTCTTCTTATGCGTATTGCCAATACTGACCCTTCATTCCCCTCCTAAAAATCTGAGCCTCATTTCCACAAAGCAAATTACTATTACATATTATATTATATTCATGTATTTAAAGGGTTCGTCCCGTAATGTAATATAAAAATAAAATAAAATTACCTATATTAGGGATTTGAATTTGAAAAAAAAAAAAAAAGTTTTTTAATCTTTATCAAATTGTCATCATCTAGAAGATAATTTTAATGGATGACAAATAGTATGAAAACTGAATCTGGTTTTTATCAAAATTTTAATTAATTGCTTATTAGATGTTTGTCATTTATTTTATCCTACTTGTTCTACTTCATACTATGATGATAGAGTGGGTGCTTAATTAATTGCAATTTTAATGTGGTTTAGAAGAAAAATTGTATGTTGGTTATCCAAAACAAATCAAGATTTACTTATTTAAAATTGGGTGCTCTCTTACAATTACAGATTACAGATTTTTTGCATAATATCTCAAAAACTTGATGGATATTTTAAATGTGATAGGTTGTGCTTCATATAGAATTTTTAAAGTAAGAGTCTACAACAAACTTCTCACTTTTTTTACTGACTTACATTTTGTAAATGTCTTTACCTTTAGTTGACTCCTCTTACTGATCAGATTAAGTAGTCAATCTATTACAATTTTATAACAAACTATAAATGTTTCTTCTAACTTTTGTACTCTACATTATGTATGTATGAATGTATTATAAATATAAGGTTAATATTAATTTATAAGAAAACATTTTTAATAAGATATTAATTCATTAATTTTGTTATAGTTTCATCTATGAATAGAATGGTTAACCAATTAAATACAGTCCAAGATGCTACAGAAGTTAGAAAACAATTGTAAGTTAACTAAATGTAATTTAGAATTCTTAGTAATTAATTTGAGGTCCTAATTTAAAATTTTTAATAATTTCAGGCATCAAATATCACATTACACTCAACAGCTATCAAAAGATACTAGTCATAATTTAAAGGAACTTAATGAAATACGATCATATTCTTCTCAAACAGATCAAGTATGTTTAAGATAGATAAATTTGTATCTTATTTAATGAGTAACAATTTTTTTAGAGACAGTTGAAAATTCAAAAAGAACGTTTAGCTGAATCATTTACATCTGCTTTAAATGCATTTCAAGCCATTCAACGTAAAGCATATGACAAAGAAAATGCAGAGCTAATGAAACGTACAAAAGCATCTTCTTCTATTGGCAAATTAGCTCCACCACCTGGTTCTAAATATCAAAATGGTTTGATTTTAATTAATTATCCTTGCTTGTGGCTTAAGAATAAGTGTATAAGTTGTATCTTTTATTAGGTTATTCAAACCCGAATGAAAACCAAAATGATCAAGCTCAGTTACAGATTTTGGATGAGGTAAATTTACAAGTGGTTGAACAAGAACAAGCTATTAAACAACTTGAGGTTGGTGGTAATAATATTGTAAACTGTTTACAAGTTATGTTAAAATAATTATTTATCATTTAGAATGACATTAGTGATGTAAATCAAATTTTTAAAGAACTTGGTACTTTAGTTCATAATCAAGGTGAAATAATTGATAGTATTGAAGCTAATGTACAAATTACTAATGTATCTGTTCAAGAAGCAACTGGTCAACTGAGACGAGCAACTGATTACACTGTAAGTAAATAAATATCTTGAAATTTACCTGTAAATAAATATTATCATTTATTTTATTTTTTAGAACAAGCTCAGAAAAAAAAGATTCTATTTATTAGTTATTTGTGCTGTGATATTAATCATAATTACATTGACTATTGTTTGGGGTTCTAAATAAACGTGTTTATGTTGCCGTGTTGGTTATACTTATAAATTATATTATTGTATTTCAGTTATTCCATTTTGTTAATATATATAAAAAAGAAATATTATATATATTTATAATTTCTATGTATGTGTTTAAAGKATTTTTTTTCATAAATAATATAAATGTTATCCACTATAACAAAAAAAATTATGGTTCATTAATTATTAGATGTACTTACAAAGCTGCTTAAATGATATGTTTTTAGTTATCTTAATTTTTTATATTATTATTACCATTATGTTAATATTTGCATATACTATATACTATTCTTTAATATACATACATTTATAGAGTTTATGTAATATACATTATTTCAAACGTGTTTTAATTAAACTTTTAGTATTTAAGTCATTGCATAAAAAAGAAAATGAAGTATTGTTTTACTACACCCATTAACATAGTTATGATTGAATAATACATGCAATTTTATAATTATAATATGTTGAATTTTAAATTATACTATTTTGTTTGTTGCCTATATTTTTTTAATTATAAAATAATTTACATATTTTCATGATACTTACATCTTGTCAATATTCTAACTTCAAGCAYTTTAAGGAAGAAAAACAATGTGAATATATATTTTTCGGTTTTTTACATTTTCTATTACTGCAAATATTTATAATAAATCATCAATTTCAAAACAATTGTCCAAAAATAAATGTGATATTAATAACACACAAAAAAGCAAAATTATAACACGTCTAGAAAATGCTAGTAAATACAATGTGAAAAATTAAGTTTATTAATTTTATTACTTTCTAGAATTAATACCTAAAAACTAAATTTTATCAAATTCTATTTTTGTGTAAAAAATTTATAAGTTTGAAAAATAATATATTTTGATACAATAAGAAATTTTTTGTATAAATTATAATATATATATAAAAAAAAGAAGATACATCACAGTCTCACAGATATTTCTCAACTATATTGCATATACATTTTTAATCTTAACTATCTACACACAAAGTTACAAAAAATTTTTTGCTGTTGTATATTTCATTATTTGTTTGACAGAGATCAAGCAAATAAGCGATGCAAGTGTAGCGTTATACCAGTGGCATATACAAGAACTGATGTGGGAGTTAGATCCCCTCCTTTGGATTATTTAGTTTTTGCTTACATTGTGAAGGATGCACTATAATGTAATATTTGTCATATTATTATAAATTTGTGTTTGACGACAGGGATTGTTTTATCCTTATACATTAAACTAACAGGGATGGTATCCAATATTAGATGTAAGCTAATGGTGCAAGTTTCAAAACAATTTTTAAATTTTATATTAATTTTTAATAGTAAAATTTGCAATACATGCCGGATTTCTCATACTCAAACTTCAGGCGTCATCTATTATACTACGGGCGTCTCAAGTGTTGAACATAAAATAAAATTATCAGGGCTGATAGTCCGCAACATGCCTAATCAAACTGTGAAGTMATCAAGTCGATAGCGTTGTTTTACGATTTTTAATTAATTTATAAAAGTGAAATTCGCATAACTGCTTAGTGAAAGTATGTAATCTATGAAACCACCCGTCTGTTCAGTGAGTACTGGCAGTGGCGTATCCAAAATTTTTTTCTGGGGAAGTACACAACATTTTACCATATACACTACCTAGTACCTACTACCAAAAAGAAAACCAAATATTTAATGTTTTTAATGCAAATAATTTATTTATATTTTCAGTCTGTCATTATTAGTTAATATATATTATATATACATAATAATAAATAGTAATTTAATAATAAAAACGGGTTAGTCCAAACAAAATTATAAGTGTATCTATAAAAACTAGTAACAATTGTATAAAATTATTTTGACCAATCTATGAGTCGTAATTTTCTTGGTGCTTTTTTTACAAAATCCTCAATGCTTTCAGTTTCTGAAATGACCTTTTTTATTTATGTGTATTAAAGCTAATCCATATAGTATATTTTCAGTCATTGTTGATCTTAAGTATGTTTTCAGTCGTTTTAAGGTAGAAAAAGTACGTTCAGGTGTAACTGTTGTAACAGAGGAAAAGTTATGAATATTTGTAAAAGTAATTTAATATTAGGCACAATATCTATACAATAAAAGGTAGTCTCAATATCATAGGCGTGCACACAGGGGGAACCGGGTGAGTCGCGGCCACCCTGCGGCCTCTGGCTTTTTCTTTAATAAATGCATAGATATGTATATTATACTAGACAGCGAACATTTTTGGATTTTACAAAAAAAGCCAGTTTTAATCTAATAGTATAATAAAATATAAATGTGATTAAGTTATTATTTGATTAATTAATCAATTATCATCACACAAGAATCTTTAGTTCGGAGTTTCGGACCTTTTTAAGGGCCCCCCTTCGGTCAAAGTCTGCGCACGCCTATGCTCAATAGTGGTTTGAGGTTTATTCACTGTGCTATTTTTAATTTTGTCCACCGTCTTTCTATTAATTTTGCCATATACATAATTCAGCCTTTACATTATAATGTAACAATTGCATTTAACGGAAGATCATTTTCGTACATTTTTCAATCCTCTAAAATAGTTTTAGTATCATATTAATTATTGAAATGTGATGGGATTAACACTTCAAGTGTAATAATTTCTCTTTACCTTTGATCAAATCGTGTCCATATAATTTGGTCAAGAAATGGAATGAATATAGGTAGTTATTTTGTAATAAATTCACTAATAATCTTTCGGATTTGTAACGTTCGCATTACCTAGCTCTTTTATATTGTTTGCCACAAACTCAAGGTATTTTAATATTGACGTCTATTTTAGAAGCAATCTTAAGTACTTCACTAAATATATTTTGGAAATGACTATCAACATCTTTACGAGTATAGATTCTAAAGATAATAGTGATTACTGAATACTGGTATGACCACAGAATACAGATTGTTCATTGATATAAGCATAATATTATTGTAGTATGCATTCATGTGTATGAATAAATTTAAATCTTTAAAACAAAATTCAGTAAATACAGCCAAAACGAGAGAGGGCCATGGTCCCTGTAGCCCCACCCCCTTGGATACRCCACTAACTGCAGGCCACAGGGGTATAGCCGGGGTAGGGTCTTTGATCCTTATACAGTTATACATGAAACTACCTCAGCTTATACTGTTTATAGATCACAACGTTAGTAATCACTAATCACTAATCAACATTGAAAATTTCAACCCGATTGCATGGTTGTATGATTTTTAATGAATTTTTATATAAATGGGAACCGTCAAAATACGCAATATCGGATTAAGGTACACACCGTACTTCGTAGACCGAGTCTTCATATTTAATAATTAACAATTTGTGAAAATATTTACACACGGATATCTCGCTAAATACTGGTCTTGGGGGGACTGTGGCGTGCGCAGGAATTTGGTATGGGGGGGGGATGTCATAAATAAAAATGTATTATGTTTATGTTGATGAACTAGAGATCCAAAATCCACTCGTTAGAAGACTAAAAAAAAGCCCATGGGGGGGATATATCCCCCATCATCCCCCCCCTGCGCACGCCACTGGTAGGCACAAGTAATTTTGATTGGGAAATTAAAAAAATGAACAATATCCAACAACAAAATTCACACTAGGGTTTTAAGTTTTAACAAACAGTTTTAATTTCCATAATTTTATATTTTAATTATATTAGAAAAACTGTAATTTTTAGATTATATTAATTTAATGTTTTTTTTTTTTGTTTTTAAAGCTATATTTATAATCTATACGTAAAGCACAATAAGTAAATTAGATAATAATATTAATAATAAGATGAATTGATTGTATTTTGGCGGGGGCGGGGGGGGGCGTTCATCAACACCTCCTCTTTAATTTGGGATGTTCATAATATGGAGAGAGCATTCATTTATTTGATTATGATTTTTTGTATTAAGCAAGGACGTTTCCGCGTCTTTTGGCCATTTTCTTTTTAATCTCATTGGAGAGTTGCTAGGAATGGTTAAAGAGAATTAATAAGAGGGTTTTGGTTTGAAGTTTTGAGTGGAATTTTTTGTAGCGTCGAGTTGCGACTTAATTGTTTGTTGAGATTAATGAGATTTGTAGATCCTTATGAAATGTGTCGTTGGTCATATATCATGGGCCTCCGGTTATTTGTCTGAGAAATATGGATTGAAAGGTTTGTATAGGTCTTATATTAGATGGTTTGGCTTGACCCCAGATTGGCCAGATTTGGATATCATAAGACCAGAGATGTTTAATAATCGTCTTGTATATTAATATTTAATTTTATACTCATTGAAGGAGACAGTAATGGACGAAGAAGGTGTATGTGTGTGCCCAATTGTTTTTTTTTTATGTTTAGTATGTTGGTCCCAGGTAAGCAAGCACGGCCGCAGTATAAAATCCCACCCGGGGCAAGATCAAAATTCTAATACCAAATCAAAAAGAGTATTTTAAATTATAATATATTTTTAGTGTCTTCATTCTAAAATAGCATAACCTAAATAGAAAAAAAAAATCAACATTATATGTCATCACATAAGTCTCTTATATGTGTAGGTTTACAATCACAGGCGTCTCTACGGGGGTGGCAGGGTGAGCACCGGCCTCCCCAGTGACTTGATTCTTGGCGTATAATTTACTGTGGTTGAAACACAGATTTCTATATGGTTAGTAGTGCTATATAATTCCCATACAAAAATAAAAAGTCACAAATATAGATAATAAAATACAGATCGTTGTAGTAAGTAAAAAATTTAAATTTTATAAATTGCCTCCCCAGCCATGAAGGCCTGGACACGCCTAAGTTTACAATACACTATTAATATTTTTTAAATACATGTTAATGTAATGATACTATCTTACTATCTACTATCTTAAATCGTGGTTGTGTATAACAATTTTAGTGCCCTCCCCTCATATAACTAGTCAAATAAAGCGCCCGGAGGGGAGGCAAGCTGGAACATTTATTTTTTATTTTGCATTTCATGATTTTTTGAGTTATAAAAAAGAGTACTTCAGTAAAATTGTAAAATAAAAATTGTTCAAATTTTAGTAATCATAGTTTATAGTTTATACATTAAAATAATAAATTTAAATTCAGGACATTAA